CCTCCGGTCTTTTTTTCACCCTCTACCTCTCTTCCCACCCACTTTTTGTAACATGAGATTTCTGGCCCTGCAGGTCCCTTACTCTTGAGCCCCAAAATAAACACACAGACACTATATTAGTTTTTAAACTGTTGGCCACAGTGACTGGTGTTTCCTATTGGCTAGCTCTGACTTAATTATTAACCCATAACTACTATAACAAAACTCATTTCTAGAGGGAGTTCCAATGAAGAGAAATTATGAGATAAAAGTCAAGGGCTGGAGAGATGACTCGGTGAGAATGATGCTTGCTGTGGAAGTGTGGGTACCTGAATTCACATTCCTAGAACCTCCATAAAAACCTGATATCTTAAATCTGCCATCCCAGTGTTCCTATGGTGATCTGGGAGGCAGAGACAAGAACCTTGCCTCACAATGTGTACACAATGGCGAAACACAGAGACCCTAACTCAAACAAGGTAGAAGGCAAGGACAAACAAGTGGAGGTTTCCTCTGATCTCCACAAGTACACTGTGGTATGTACAGATAGATCCAGCAAGATAATTCAATGAGTAAAGACACTGGCCTCCAAGCCTGGCAACTTGCTCTGAGGACATACATAGAAGAAGGTGAGAAACAATTCCTGCACCTTGCCCTTGGACCTCCACAGGTACACAGTTCATGGGGACACATACAGTACAGCGTTTGACCCTGCCCCGAATAAAGCAATAATAGATTACATAAAACCTTAAACAAAAGTCAAAGGGCAGTGTCCAATAAGTAGCCATGCAACCAAAGTCACTAAGGCCGAGCTTTTTCTCAGCTGAACAGGTTCTGTTACAGGGTGTCCTACATTTCCTTAACATAAGCAAGTTCAGGTTGAGTCCTGAGGAAACTGGTAAGTTTTAAAAAGCGAAAGCGAGCGGGACCATGCCAAAGAGTTTAGCAAGGACTGGGGCATCAGTATCCCTCGGAAGTGTATGTGAACTTTTCGGCTCCGTTGGTTCCTTTAATAAATATTTGAACACCTGCTCTGTCCAGGTCAGCACCTGACAACACACTCCAGGGAGGCTACGTTCCCAGTTGCTTAGCAACCTTGACTTCCTCTTAAGTGCTTCAATGGATTGTGTGACTTAATAAGTGCATCGCTCTGTGCTAAGCGTGGGAATGAGACATTCACCGAACTGGAACACAGATGGATAAAGAATATAACACAGTGTTAACTAAGAACACATGTGTAGTTTAATGAGATAAAGTATTGATGGCTTACAGTGGCTAACCTTTGTGTCTGAGTGTGGGGACACAAAATGCCTTCCCCAATTTTGCCAGGTCTTGACCCTTGGGATATATGACTTGAGCCTGGAAGGGCTAGACTTTGAAATGAGGGTACACTGGATTAATCAGGGTGATCGGTGCAATCAGAAGGGGCCCACTTGGTGAAGTAGAAGCAACTGGATCAGTCGGAGAATACAAGTGGGGGGTGGGGGTAAGAAGGGAGAGAGAGAGGGAGGGAGGGAAGGAGAGAGGGAGGGAGGGAGGGAAGGAGGGAGGAAGGGACTTTGCACACAGGACTTGGTGATGATCCATTGTTGGCCTTAAAGATGGAGGAACCAGTCAGGCTGGAAGAAGCAGGAGACTTACAAGACAACCTGGAAAATAAGTGAGCAAGCAGGTTCCCCTCCCCAGACTACAAAGGATCATTGCTCTGCTAAGGTCTTGATTTTAGCTCATCTTGTATTTATTTCCAGAACTGTACAAATATAAATTTTTACTGTTTTAAGCCACCAAGCCTCTGGTAAACATGTGCCTTGTCATGTTTTGGTCCTCCGGAAACCTGTGAACTAGTACCCTTTACGGATGTGCCAACTGAGTCCTACAGAGAAAAACAGAAGATAGCGCACTGATGTTTTTTTTAAAGATAATTGATTACACTTAGAAGGTACATCCTGGTTGTGGACTAGGTAAAGTAAATAAAACTGATTTTATCTATGTGTGTCTATGTGTGTGAGAGCAGATGCCATCAAGTCCCCTGGAGCTGGGGTTATAGGCAGTTGTGAGTGGCCGGCCCATTTGTGGGTGATGGGAACCAATGAGCCATCTCTCCAGCCCTCCTTCACCTAGTTGAGTGTGTCCCCTGTGGCCTCCCGATGACGTCAGAGGAAGTCAGTTCTCCACCGTGTTTTTCAGGGATAAAACTCAGGTCAACAGGCTGAGCAGCAAGTGACTGTGCCAGCTGAACCATCTCACCAGCTCCCTGATGTGGAAAACTGTTTTTAAGGTGTGTTACGTTCATTTACGATGTGGACCATTTGTTTTAATGATGCGAAGATGTGTGGCATTCCTTTATGCTGTACTTGTTTAATTCTGTGAAGCTGTGATGTTTGTCCTGTCTAAAACACCTGGTGGTCTAATAAAGAGCTGAAGGCCAATCTCCAGGCAGGAGCAAGGATAGGCGGGGCTGGCGGGCACAGAGAAGAAATAGGAGGAGAAAAGGAGAAAGAAGGGGCAAGGGAGGCGAAAGGGTGAAAGTAAGGAAAAAGCCCAGAGACCAAAGGTGGGTGGGTAATTTAAGAAAAGCTGGCAAAAAACAAGCCAAGCTAAGGCCAGGCATTTATAAGTAATAACAAGCCTCTGTGTGTTTATTTGGGAGATGAGGGTCAGGCACCCAAAAGAGCTAAAAGAAGAGTAAAATGTAAAAACTCAACTCTCCTTAGCTTTTTCATATGGCTCTACAAACTTTTCAATTGCATAAAGAACAGTGCTGACCTAGACCCTCAGTAGTTTGAGTTTCACATTTCTCATTTGAACTTTTAGAAGAAATTGATTAATATATACAGTATACATATTAATGGTGTGAAGCAATATTTCAATTAATATATTCACTTAAAGTTTTAATATTTAATCTAATTTCATGTGTATGAGTGTTTGCCTGCGTGTCTGTCTTTACATCACTTTCATACAGGCATCGGATCTCCTGGGCTGAAGTTATGACGGGTTATGGACCACCATGTGGTGCTGGGAACTGAACTTCTGTCTTCTGCAACAGCAGCCAGTGCTCTTAATTGCTGACCATCTCTCCATGCCAGTCAAGTCATGTCTGCAATGTTTGATGTTTAAGTTGGGTTGATCATTCTAATGCCTCAAACATTTTTTCTGATAAAATTATTAAAATTTCTTCTGTTTGTTTAAATGCACAGTACATTATCACCATGTATAGTGACACTACCATGCTTCTGGTTTCGTTGTTTTGGTTTTTCGGAGACAGGGTTTCTCTATGTAGCTTTAGAACCTGTCCTGGCACTTGGTCGGACTCACAGAGATCCTCCTGCCTCTGCCTCCCAAGTGCTGGGATTAAAGGCATGAGCCACCACCACCGGGCCGCGATTATGGTCTTATACTGTATGTGACAGAACTTGTTCTCATGAAAAAAAAATATATGTATATATATATAATATGTATATATATATATACATATATTTTCAATAAATAGTATATGCTTTTGGCTGGAGAGACAGCTTAGCAGTTAAGAGTGCTTGCTATTTTCCCAGATAGCTTAAGTTCAGTTCCCAGCACCCAGGGCTAATGGCTTCAGGTAATCCAAAAATCCCTTCTAGACACAACATTCATGTGCAACGCTCCCCTCATCCCAACCCCACCCCTCCAACCCCCGCCCTGCCTGCAAACACACATACCTACAAGTAAATGAAAATAAAGCTTATAAACCTAAAAAATAATAAAATAAAAACATACATGAAAGCATTTTCAAATTCAGCATATTTTTGCAAGGCACAGTGGCACATTCTTTCAGGGTCAGCACTGACTGGGCAGAAGCTGGCGGATCTCTGCATGGTCCCAAGCCAGCCAGGCCTACAAAATGAGACCCTGTCTAAAGAAAAGGGAGGAGGACAGGACGGTAGGAGGGGGAAGAAAGACGAGGTTGGAAAGAGAGAAGAGCTATTTGCTTTGGAAAAATAACACAGACAGAGCCAAAGGCACAGTAAGCAGCTAAATTCAAAACTTTGCAACTGTGAACATTTTCTCATTTTAAGAAAATCCAGTATCACCAAGTCCAAACTTTTTAAACAAATCAAATAGGTAGCATTTAAGACTCTTGCTTTACAAAAACGCTCCATCCGGAATTTTTGTTTGTTTGTTTTGTGATTAGCCATCTGCTTCTTTACACTCTCCCTACGTGTTTTAGAAAAACATTCTGACTTCAAGGTTCTACTTCGGAAGTAAACGTGGTTTTGACAAAGTTGTGAATCATTCAAAGCAGCCTTGCATCTCGAAAAAAAAAATAATAATAATAAATAGACAAAAACTGCCTTGGAAAACAATGGAAACGCAAGCACTGTTTTAGGAAACCGTCCGCAGCCGCAGCGTGGACCGCGCTGATCCACTCAGGCGCGCAGACAGCAGCAGCCTCAGGGCCGCCTGCCAGGGCCGCGCCCTCCCCGCGGAGGTGGGTCAGCTGATGTTTACGTCCGGGAGGGGTGGGTCCTGATGCTGCAGACGCTCGCTCCTTCCCAGCGCCGGTTGCCCCACCCCAACCTTTCCGGTTTTAGCCAGAGAGAAAGGCTCGCGGCACGTCGTTAGCTGCAGCCCGCCCACAGCCCGCCCCTAAACAAAACAAACCTTGCGCAGGGACTGTCCCGGGCGTGTGGGGGGGGGGGGCCGCCCCTGCGCGCGCGCCCGCCAGGCCCCGCCCCCTCGGGCGGAGACGCGCACGGGCCGGTGGGGGGGGGCGGGCAGGCGCGCGCCCGCGAGCCCCGGGCGCCATTTTGGGTTCTGTCGCCGGGCCGGCGCTCGGTGCTCGCTGCTGTCGGCCGCTGCTCGCCCAGGGCGTCCGGTCCCGGGCGGCGACGACGAGGAGGAGCCGAGGCGAAGGACGCAGCCTGCGCGGGACGGGGGAGGGACGCTTCCCCCCGGCCGGCCGGAGCCGCCAAGGTGGAGCCGCGTCGGCCCCCGGCGCGGGAGCAGCGTCTCGGTGTCGGATGCGGGCGGAGCGCGGGCAGGGGGCCCCGGGAGGCCTCACGTGAGGGCCGCGGCCGCCGCCGCCCGCGCAGCCCGGGGTGGTGTGTGGGGGACGCCGCCCCCGGCAGCAGGTACGGCGGAGGGGGCGGGCGGGGAGGGCGGCGGCGGCCGCCGCGGGCGCGCGCGGGGCGCGACCGGAAGCTCGGGCCGTGTCAACAAGGCGCGGGGCGCGCGCGCGCTCCGGCCCCGCGGGCGGCTCGGCTGCCGGGGCCACTGACGGGCGCTGCCGGGCTCGCCCGCGCCGGTGCGGCTGCCGGGGAGAGCGGAGGCCCCCGAGAGCCAGGCCCGGGAGGCGGGAGCTGCCGCCCGCGCCCAGCGCCCAGGTGGCAAAACTTGGCCAACTTGGGTGCAGCCGCCTGGGGCGCGCTGCAGCCCGGCGCCCCGAGGAAGCAGCCCGGCGCGGGCGTCTGCAAGCGAGAGGTGAGAGCCGGAGTCCGGCGGTTTGTTGCTGGTGGTGTCTGCTCCAGTGGCCCAGATGGGATTAGTTTTCGTTTTGTTTTGTTTTGTTTTTTCCCTTACGCGAAAGGGGTAACTTTTAAAATTCCCCTGAACGCCTTGTAGCAATTATCTGTAGCTCTAAACTCACTCACTCCGGGTTATCCGCATGCCCCCCTCCCGGTTATCTGCATCCCCGCGGAGAGTTAATCTCTTTCATATTGTTCAGTTCTTGTATTGCAGCCGAAGAGTGTGTGTTAGGTTTCCTTCCAATCCAAAGCAAAACACAGGACATAATAGTGGAAATGTAAAGCCAGAGGCGGACCCGTAAAGCTTAGGTACAAATAGAAGGGCTTTTAATTATGTCATGCCCACCAAGTGTCTCAAGACAGTAAGAAAACTTGGACTCTTCGTTGCACTTTATGGGAACATTTGATTAGCTCACTCATCCCTGGTGCTGCTCAACTAGTTGGTAGGCTTCCTTAATTAGGTTGCTTCTTTGGCACTTGATAGAGATACCAGCAAAAGTTCCTGGCTCCGTTGTAGTATATTTGGGTTCCTGAAACACTACAGTAAATCAAAACTGCCAGAGCCCAGGTTTTCTGTGCTGGAAAATCTCATTGATGTTTATTGTCCTGTTTTGGTACTCGATTCTTCTTCCTTCGGTTCAAATATAAAATGCACTTTCACTTCGACTCGAAGCAAGCAGTATAAAACCCACTGCTGTAAACTAGCTGTATACTAGTGAATGCTGTAATCGATTTGTTCAACTTTCTATACAGCAGAGCTTCAAGTGGGGGTGGTTAAAATAGAAAGCATTGGAAGTTTTGAACTGAAAAAGACCAACTTTGAAAAATGATATTTTAGACTTGGTTAGGTGTTCATTCACTAATGTTATTTTCACACTAAATGAGAATAGTACACAGGACATCTTAGCATTTGGCCTTTTGCTTTTCTGTTGCCTCATAAGATTTTTGACATTAATCTCTTAATGCCTTTGACAGTCCCTAGACTTTAGCTGTCATAAACTCATAAGTACTTAATATATACTTTGGTGATCCATATATTCAGTTTACATTTAGATCAAGAACAGTATTTAAAATACCTTAGTGTTGGGTAATTTTATATTGCCCTCTCTGACTCCCTCCCAAATCTGGAGTTGTGTTAAAATACACTACATGTAGAACAGGACTGCGTTGGGAGCAGAAACGGTGGATCTGTGATATCCGGGCCAGCCAGGCTTACTTATCAAGACCCTGCCTCGGGTAAACATTGTGTATGTTTAGAGTTAGCAGGGTATTGTTAAATGACTGTAAGGCTGCCATTTTGTTAGTTTTTAGTTTGAATCTTGACAGTAAAGTGAATGATTTCATCTTTAAGCTCTGGCTTGGGAAGATCTCTCCAGAAGCTGCAGAGCATCCTGTGTGGAAGTAGGAAGACAGTTTCATTCTGTTCTGAATCTTTGGAGGCTGAATCTTTGGAGGTGGAAATTCTCAGTAGATTCCAAGTCCTTGGTAGCAAACTCTTTGTACTTTGACCCAAATTGAAATGCTAAAATTAAAGTTAACCCTTCAGGATAAGCTAAAGTGGGAAAATGGGTCATAATAACAGGTTAACCTCTAGTGGGACACTTTCATTAGTTTTTCTTTTTTAAGATGGCCTTATGGACTGTTCTAACCTTTCTCTGAACACACTTAGAAAATCTATTTTTAGACTCATAATAAGTTTGAGTCTCCCATAAAGCCATCTTGTCATCGCTGCCATTTTGTTTTCTGCGTTCTCTTTCTACTCGAGTAAGCCCTTCTTGTGTGTGTGCATATGTAGTCAGGTGTGGGAACAGTGAAGAACAGTCTGTTCTGTTACTGCACTGCAGGCCTTCTGGACTGACATGACCTGAGGCTGTGCCCTCCCACAGCCTGTTTCTCTTCTCCAGCCCTCAGCCCTCCTCCACAGATTTTTGCCATCTCCTAGATGAGAAAGTCAGTACATGGGCACGTCCTTCACTGCACAGAGGGTTAAGAAATTCTTATGTGCCAATTTGTCACAAGTTAGTTGGCATCACAAGGTATCCTTTTGAGTCTTGCTTGGACCAATGCATTGTTAGAATTTCTCTCTAGAAACAAAGCATTGTAGGTCCTAGACTGAATGGTAAAGTAGTTAGTGTAGAGTGCAATGCACTCAGTCAACTAACAAATTAAAATGTGTCCTTTGGAATGTTGATTACATCATAATGGGTAGAGTCAATTGTATGCAGTATAGAAAGAAAAGAAAAAAAAAAGCTCATTGTTTGCCACTACACTGAATTAGTGCGCTCTACAGCCTTTCTCTGCACCACCACTTCCCGATGGATCGATCACTTACTTGAAAATAAAAGTTAAATTGCCCTTCACATGGAGGTGCAGTCCATGTTCTCCCCACCTCTGTGATGGCTTGCATTCTGGGCTGTTTTCTAAACAGGAGATCAATTGGCTCTCCTTTCAAAGGCCCTAATACTTCACTTCACAAGAACCCTGTATCTTAAGGTCACCGTTTTACAACAGGAACATCTGACAGTCTTGTCCTTTATCCAAAGCCATGAGAGCTGAGACTGAAACCCAGCGAGCTTGGCTTAGAACTTCTAGTACCGTTGACCATGAGAGCAGGTCTTTTCAAGAAGAAAATGGAATACATAGAAAAAACATGAAGGTATCATTCAGGGGGGAAAAAAAGACAGGGAAAACAGAGTGACAATAATGTGCTATGGCAGGAAACCACATTCCAGCTGAAACAAGGCATAGTCAGGGTGGATTGCCTGAAGTATTCAGTCTGTTTTATGCTGTTAGAGGTCGAGCACAGGCCTGGAGCAGTTCAGTAGTTGCTTTCTGTAAGCAGAGGTTGGATGTATGGTGCAATGCTAGCACGTGTCACAGGCTATTTATTCAGTGCAGATCTGTTGACTACCTTTCATCCTCTCTAGACGTTCATTGACCTTGCTGCACTTCAGATGTAAGAACTCAAATATAGTTACCCTTGAGTGACTGAAGAAACTGGAAAGAATCACTATAGGTTCTTTTTTAGTCACTTGAAGTATTGACTACAGCTAACTCCTGAATGTATGTATATCTGTGGGTTACTTAGGTCATAAGTAGTGTTTGAAATCACCTCCGGAGTGTTCATCTCCACTGACACTTTTCACTATATCTTTATATTCTCCTTGAATCGTTGGTTTAGTTCTGCGCATATTTCTGTTTAACTATCCAAATGTCTCAGTGACAGAAAATGAATTGTGATTAGAAGTTAAGTAGGATGGGAAAAAAATAATGAATTTTTCTAAATAGGATGAAACGAGGAGGAAGAGATAGTGACCTTGACTCACCTGAAGAAGGCACTGCAGAGAAACCTAAGAAACTGAGGACTGCACATGAATGTTCTCAACCTTGTGATTGGGGTAATCTGCTGCAGGACATTATTCTCCAGGTTTTTAAGTACTTGCCTCTTCTTGATCGGGCTCATGCTTCCCAAGTGTGCCGGAATTGGAATCAGGTGTTTCACATGCCTGACTTGTGGAGATGTTTTGAATTTGAACTGAATCAGCCAGCTACATCTTACTTGAAAGCTACACATCCAGAGCTGATCAAACAGATTATTAAAAGGCATTCAAACCATCTACAGTATGTCAGCTTCAAGGTAATACTTTAAGTCAGTCTGTTAAAAAAATAAAATAGTGGCTTTAATATTCTAACCAATACAACTTCTTATGTCTTTAAAATACTTGACTTTTTAGGGAAAGTGCTTAAAGTTTAAAAATTATTGCACGCCTTAGAAACCATTGTAAATAATTTTTAATATCTGCTAGAACTAAAATATTCCTTTACGATTAATTACTTAAAAGAACAAAAGCAGTCACTGAGTATAATTTGGCTGAAGTTTTAACTGTGAATGGTTGGCAACAAATTTGAGGAAGGAGAAATATACAACTAACATTAAGGCAGTGGCTCCCACTCTCTGGGTTTGACATCTTTGCAGGGTCACATGAGATACCCTACTTATTGACACATTCATTACAGTTCATGACAGTATCAACACTACAGTTATGAAGTAGCAATGAAATAATGTTATGGTTTGCGGTCACCACAGCATGAGGCAGTATCACAAAGGTTGGGGAGGACGTACTTGCTTTTTTTTTCTAATCTACTAGTGATACTGCTTTTGTTTCATTTTGTTTTTCAAGACGGTCTGTCAGTGTAGCCCTGGTTGTCCTAGGACTCACTCTGTAGACCAGACTGGCCTTGAACTGAGAGATCTATCTGCCTCTACCTTCAGAGTGCTGGGATAAAAGGTGTGCGTCGCCGCCACCACCGCCCAGCAAGGGTTTTTCATTTTGATATGTTTTATTTTGATATGTTTATATTAAAAAATACATTAAAGATGGTATGTATATAAGCGAACTAGTTTGAGTGTACTTTAGAGGAAGCAGAAGAGGAAGATTGCTTCATTTCAGGGCTACAAGGGGCATGTAAGAACATGTGTCATGGTGAGATAAGTCAGAACGTGTGTCATGGAGAGATGAATGAGAACATGTGTCATGATGAGATGAGTGAGGACACGTGTCATGGAGAGGTGAGTGAGACCATGTATCATGAAGAGATGATTGAGACCATGTGTCATGGAGAGGTGAGTGAAGGAAGGTGGTATTTGGAGATTTGAAGAGTATTACATGAAATCACAGGAGCTTGCGTGAGAACAGGGTTTATCGTGTATTTTGGGATGCTTAACACCAATTTTTTCCGTAACAATTAAAATTATTGTAGAAAGGTGAAAATGCCAGGCTTGGTTACTCATACATGTAACTTTAGGACTGGGGAGTCTGAGGCAAGAGAATCAACAATTTGAGGCCTGATTTAGACAGCAAGCATACTGCAGAGAGTATTCTGGCCTTTCCTGATGATAGTTAAGTGCTCACTGTAGGCTGAAGAAAACTTCCAGCCAGGGTTATTAATCCAAAGCAGTGCTCCTCACACTAAGCTCAGTAGCCTCACCAAGGGGGGTGTAAAGGCAGATCTTGCACATCCCACTCACCAACTTTATAATTCGGATGATTTGGTTTAGGCATTAGAATTTGCATGTCTTCAGTACCCAGATGATTTTTGTGTGGTCTGGGACCCTCGTTTTGATAACTGTAATTTGTGCATTATTTTCCCACATGATAGCACTTAAGAGCTCCTTTGTAATAACAGTAAAACACAAATTTTTTTGGAAGTAAAAGTTATGGTGTTTAACATTTTTAGTCTAGAGATACTCTTTTATAACCCTTCAGGTATTGGTGTTTGGATCTATTATCCTTTTCTTCAGGAACTAAACAGCAACCTCTATTTTGGCTCAGTTTATTTTGTGCTTGTTGCGTTGGACCTCTTACTTTATTCTAATGCATCTTTCTATTCAGAACACTGAAGAATTTCAAATTTCAGGTTGTGTGGTTCATCTGAACATTCTAAATGACATTAGTTTCTTCAGGTGTCTTGAAACAGTTCATAATAGAGATTGTTTACATGTGTAGTTTGATTTACTAAAGTACAAATTACTACCTAAAGACGAAATTGATTCCTTTTGTACAGTTACTTTCAAATAAATCAAGCTAATCTTTCAGTACTAAATAAGTAAATATACATAGAAATTATAATGTGAAAGTTAGACTCAGGTTATGTGGAGAGATGATTAAATATGACTGTCCTTTAAATGATAATGCACTGATTAATAACTGCATTTCTTGCTTTTATAAAATTAAGCTATTCAAAGAGAAATGTGGCTGTTCCATGAGTAAGACATAACTTTCTTTCTAAGGTGGACAGCAGCAAAGAATCAGCTGAAGCAGCTTGTGACATACTATCGCAGCTTGTTAATTGTTCCTTAAAAACACTTGGACTTATTTCGACGGCTCGGCCAAGCTTCATGGATCTACCAAAGGTATCAGCTACCTTGTTTTATTCCCTTTTGCAGAGAATTCCCATGAAAGCCCCAGCATTGTTAGTATTAACAGTGAGAGGATAGCAAGGCAGTATGTGTAATGGAGTTCTGGTTACTGTTTGCAGTATTAAAAATAGTATTTAGAATACACTTTTAAAGAGTTTTTAATGGGAGGCAGAGGCAGGCAATCTCTGTGGTTCAAGGCCAGCCTGGTATACAGAGCTAGTTCCATGGCAGCCAGGACTACTACACAGAGAAACTCTCAAAAACAACCAAAAACCAAAAATAATTTTTCATGTGTATGAGTGTTCTGTTTGCATGTATGTGTACCTCATGTGTGTCTGATGCCTGGGAAGGCCAGAAGAAGGTGTCAGATTCCCTGGAACTGGAGTTCCAGGCAGGAGCTGCTGTGTGGGTCCTAGTAACAAACCTGAGTCTTTTGCTAGAGCAGCAAGTAGTTTGAATTGTTGAGCCATCTCTCCAGCAGCAGTAAAACATGAAGTGAAGCGTTACTATGCTCTTCATTGGTATAGTAAAAGAATAAGTGAATTTACATAAGATTAGGTAGTGCAGGTGCTAATAGAAATGTAAAACTAACCATATCAGAAAGAAAAAAAAAGAGGCTTCTTTCTGAGCCTTAGAACAGATTGTTGAAATTGAGAAAGCAGGAATGCCAGTCTTGAGCAAGTAGATCCTGATTATTATCTAAACCCTTTTGGGAAATGTATGAAAAGGGTATTTTTGAGCAAAGTTAATGTCAGTATACCTTGAGTTAGCTTACAAATCATATTTCAAACTGTTTATTCTTAACTGTGTTAGTCCTATGCATAATTAAGGAGTAGTCTCTACCATATAACTGTTCCTTTTAAAACTTGGTTTTTTTACATGTTGTGTGTGTGCATTCACATGTGGAGGTCAGGGGACAGCTTACAGGGATCCGTTCTCCTTCTGCCTTGTGGGTTCCAGGGTTTGAACTTGGGTTGTAAGGCTTGGGGCAAGTGCATGCGAGTGTGATGCTGAGAATCACACCTATGGCCTGACCAGTGTCCTACCACTGAGCCACATCCCCAGACCAGCTAGCAGCAATGACTTTTTTTGTAAGTATACCACAAAGTAAAATATGACTTACTAATTTTTGTTTTATGTGCGTGAGCGTATGAGCACCACGTATGTGCCTGGTACCCATGGAGGCCAGAACAGCACATTGGATCCCAAGAACTGGAGTTGCAGAGAGTTGTGAGCTGCCATGTGGGTGCTGGGAACTGAACGCAGGTCCTCTGGAAGAGCAGCCAGTGCTCTTAGCTGATGAGCCATTTTTCCAGCACCAGAATACAGATACTCACTTCACAGTTCGTTTTACTAAAGTGATTCAGGATATGAGTTTTAACTAGTTAGGTGATTGTTCCAATTGAATAGCAGAACTAAATAAAACACTATGATTTCAAAATCTCTATAAGTTTCATTAATTTTGTATGTTTTCAGATAGATTATTTTCTTGTGAGGGAAGAAGGAAGATGGAGCAGGGAATCTGTTTAACATTTTAAGACTCAAGTAGCCGCTGAGTCTTGGCTCTAGCTGTGCAGTTGGACTCCACTCCTCTTCTGTAGACCTGTCCAGAGGCTGCCCAGGGCCTTGTGTTAAATAAGTTACATGTAGTTCCATCTTCAAGCCTCATGGGAAAGGAAATGCTCTGAGTTGGTATTTTACATACCTGCCATAATGTATTTTAAAAATGTGAAATAAATAGCATTAACCATATTATAAAGCATGTTGAACATAATTTTATTTTTTATTGTCTGGGGCTCTCAGTTTGCATGTTTGTAGTGCTAATTTAAGAAATGTTGATGTAGCTGGAACTGCCTCAGATGCTTATTGTTCTTTTTTGCTTTTTTTTCTCCCTCTTTTTTTTTTTTTTGTTTTTGTTTTTGTTTTGTTTTGTTTTTGTTTTTTTTTTGTAGAAAAGATTGAAGTAAGGTGTTCCTATATTTTGGCTATCCTGAACAGAAGAGAAAAATAGAAGAAATGCATGTAACCATAGCTAAATCAGGACAATGAGGAAAGACGTTAGCAAGCAGTCATGGGCTTAATAGTAAAGAACTGTGATCATGGAAGATGTAGTTGAGTTTGAAATGAAGATACTGTGGCATTAATGCATAAGTTATTTAATCAAGATTTCAGAAATCAGTTGTTTAGACACAGTAAGGAAAAAGCAAGTTAAGGACTGTGACCAAGGAGGCTGTATTTGCTTGTATTCATTGTCTGTCAGCATGGTTTTGTCCACTGACCCTGCTGTGGAGAATTTTCAAAGGTAGGTTCAGGGTGAGCTTGCCTCTGTGAACACGTGTGGAATCATGTGTTGATCTTCCTTTGTTTTCCCAAATATTTGCCCATTGATTACAGCTTAACTCTGATTCAAAGTCATGTACTTTAAATGTGCTGAAATTCTCGTTTCTATAGCGATTCCCTTTGATGAGATAAATCTCTGTTCAACAGATTGATGTATATAAGAAGTTCAGGGCTGTCCTCTAGTATTTATAAGTGAAATACATTAAAATCAAGGCTTTTTGTTTTGTTTTTTTTTTTTTTTTTTTTTTTTTTGGTTTTTCGAGACAGGGTTTCCCTGTATTGCTGTATCTGTCGAGCAGGCTGGCCTCAAACTCAACAGAGATCCATCTGCCCCTGCCTCCCGAGGGCTGCCACAAACGCCCAACTTAAAATTAAGTCTTGAGAATCTCTTAGATACAGTGTTTTGAGAGGGTTATAAATTTGGGGTTTCTAAATGATTCTGATTGTTTTAAGATTTTGTATGTGTTTCCATAGTCCAGTTGAGTTGATAATTGACTTCAGTCTTGATGATGGTGGTACTAGTTTCTGTGTTTATGTTCTTTGCTATGTATTGCAATGTATAGGACATTAGCTTCCAAATACATGTGACTGTTTGAGAGACTCAGTCTGGGTTCCTGGTTTCCTCTTTGATCTTACTGAGGTTGCTGTGATTTAGAAACATTCTGAGGCTTGAAGTGACATTTTCTTCCACAGGTACAAAAGGCTTTTCTCTGAGATGAAAATTAGTTCCCTCTTACACTTTGGTAACCTTGTGAGGGGGTGCTGCCTTTTAATAAATTTGAAATCCCTCATTGGCAGCAGAGAGCCATATCTAACATTGTAAGGTGTTATTCCTAAAGAACTGAAACAGTGTGTTAATCTTTTGTCTTTCAGTCTCACTTTATCTCTGCACTGACAGTTGTGTTTGTAAACTCCAAATCCCTGTCCTCACTTAAGATAGATGACACCCCAGTAGATGATCCATCCCTTAAAGTGCTAGTGGCCAACAACAGTGACACACTCAAGCTGCTAAAGATGAGCAGCTGCCCTCATGTCTCTCCAGCAGGTATGTCATGTCTCTACCAGACACACTTTAGTAAACTGTATTGCTTTTTAAATTAAGAAAATTGTTTGTTTAATCTGTCAGTGAACTTGTAAATCAGCAAACCATATCTTCCTCTGCATAACAATGTTCAGTATCCTAATAACAATAGGGTAGTATCTGCAGTAATCCATCTTAGACTGACTTCATCCTATTTTCTAATCATTTCATGTGGTAAATTGAGTATAATATGTTCTAGAAAATGAAAAACAGAGTTTATTAGCTACTCCTTGCTGGGGCAGAATATCTGATAAAGCAACTTATGGATGAGTTGAAGAGTCTAATTTGGCTCACAGTTGAAGGGTGCTGGTCAGTATGTGAGGACAGTACGGTGCAGGAGCATGAGGTAGCTGGTCCATCTGTACACCTCAGGCCTTACCCAGCCAGGCTCCAGTCCTGAAAGTTCACAGCCTTCCAAACCAGCACTAATAGCTGGGGACCAAATGTTTAAGCATGAGTTTATGACGTAGAGACATTTTCAAACCACAAGGCAACACTCTGAGGTCAAAGTTGATAACTGTAATTGAGCTCCAGGTGTTTGGGTCAGAACAGTCCCGTAATTCTCACTATTAGAGGGGAAGAGGTGATGTGAATCTTACTGCCTTTTGGAGAGAATGTTCTTTAAAACCTAAATTCAAGGCTAGCCTGGTCTACAGAGCGAGTTCCAGGACAGGCTCCAAAGCCACAGAGAAACCCTGTCTCAAAAAACAAAAAAAACCCTCAGATTTTAGAAATAGCATTATTAAAGGTCTTTCCAACTACTTTTATGTAGAATTTTCCAAGTTTGATGTTATTTAAATTACAAGTGATTTGTACTGAAAAGTAAGTATAAACATGATTTTCATACTTGCCGCTGCTTCATTGCTGACTCCTCCCACTTTTGGAACCCTCCCTGTCTTTAGCTGTGCTGTTCTGCAGTTTTTCTATGTTTATGTTTGTTTTCTTGCCATAGCAAAGGGTTGAAATTCCCTCAAAGATATGGTTTACTGCTGAATGGAAGGCACTTTTTCTAACGTCACCCACAAAGAGGGTCTTAGTGATTGGAATAGCTAGACCTACTATTGTATTTACCTGGTCGTCTCAACCTCTTCTAGATAATCAACTGGAAGCATTACAAAATAGAAACTAAGGAGAGGCTACTAGGCGTTGACAGCTATTTTCTGTGTGACCTTGATCACATTTTATTGTGTGCTGTGAGGCTGAGATCCATCTTCTATAGCTCTATAGTTAGTGTTCAAGGTCCAGTGCACCCTGACCTCCGCCTATCTTGTTTGTTCCCCACTCATGTGTCTTAAGAGCTGTGAGCACGGAGGAGCTGGAGTTGTTGCTTTTGACCTTCCAGGGTAGCCGGGACACTGTGCCTCGTGACATTCTTTAAAAATTATTCAACCTACTCATCAGTATATCATTATCATAAAACTGATATTAGAAAGGGATTTATGAACCATATAGTTTACAATCATGTAAAATGGACGATTTATTGGCCTTCAGTGTGCTGACTTGTGTTCAAAAGAAGCATAGCTATCACACCCTAAAAACTCAACTACCCCATCCCACCCAGTCCTAGGCAGCCACTACTGCATTTTCTTTTTCTGCAGTTTGTCTATACTGGGTAGTTCCTATACATGGAATTGTATCGTGTGTGTGTGTCTGTGTCTGTCTGTCTGCCTGGTTTGTTACTTAGCATGTTTTTCACATTGTTTGTACTGTATAATGAATTAGAATTTCATTCCTTATTGTTGCTGTGTAGTATTCATTATATGTTTATAGCACATTTATTGTTGACGGGATTGTTTTCAACCTTTTGAGTAAAACAGGTAATGCTTATATGAAAAGTCACATATTTTTGTGTGGTCATGATTCTCTTGGTGTACGTCTAGCTAGTTATAGGGTTGCCAACAAGTCATATAGTAGCTACTACCCACTTGAGGAAGTGTCCAACATGTCAAACACTGACTCTAGGATAGTTCAGTTACTAGAGCAACAAGAGGTGGCAGATCAATAGACAAAGATATTTTCTGCAAGTTCCAAACCGCAGATGTTAGGATTTTCCAGAATAAAAGTGATTAAACCCAAAATACAGGGTGAAAGTAGAGAATTGCCATTGTCTATTCCTTTTATATATCTTTACCAGTGCGTTTTATCTTTTGTATTATACCCATCCTAGTTTGTGTACCAGTATGATTTGGGTTTTGATGCGCATGTGTGCACACACCCTATCCCATCCCTACCCTTCCAGGCCTTTCTCTCTCTTGGAACTCACTGTATAATCCAGGTTAGCGCTCAGCTCAGGGTGGTCCTCCTACCTGCGCTTCCCAGTTCTGGGGTTACATGCACGAAACAATTGTCTAGATGCATGTTCTTGATAATTTTGTTTCGTACAGGTTCTCCATATATAGCCCTGGGTAGCCTGGACCTCAGTATGTAGATCAGGCTGGTCTTGAACTCTCAAGAGTTCCTGAGTGCTGCTGGAATTAAAGCTTGTGCTACCATGCCCTGCTATTTGATGACTTTTTTTTTCCATGTGTTTACTGGCTATTTCTGTTTCTTCTGGGAAAAATGTCTACTTGGGTTTTTAACCTATATTTTTCCTTTGCTTATTTTAAAAATTGCTTTTTATTATTGATTTATGCTTGTCATTATGTTGTTATCATGGAAATGTCCATAACTAGTGTCTCTCTAGCTGCATAGCTAATTACATATGCAATAGCTTATACCACCACCTGATATCAGTTCCACAGTTTTGGAAGGCAGACTTGTAGGCAGGTCTCCCATGGCTTCTGTGCCTAGCATCATAGCCTAGACTCAGTGTCTGTCAGGCTGGACTCTTGATCTGGAACCCCAGAAAAAAAGTCCACTTCATTCACTCTCATATTGTAGGTGAGTTTGTGTTTTTGAGGTTGTTGCACTGACATCTTTTTCTCACTCACACTTTGTGTGGTGGGGGATGGTCCCAATTCATGTCTACTTGCTTATTTATTTACTTTTACTTATTATGTATGAAAAAATCATTTGATACTATTAACATGAATTTATCTAAAACTTGCTTGTCATAAAGCTAGCAGTTAACATTTTGAGTTCCATTTGTGCTCTGACTCTTCCCTTTCTAAAAGAGCTCATGATTAGGATTATCTCTATAATTTATTTCATAAGGGCAGTTGTGTCATATAGTGCAATGATAGGCAAGGTATCACTTGCCAGGTCACAGAGATGAGGGAGTGGATCTTGGGAAGGAAAGGGCATTTGAGAGTTTCGGCTGGGGCAGCTGCTGTGATAGTTTTTCTTGTTTGCATCTTTGCAGTTTTCTTAATGTTTTCTTTTTGCATTAGGTTTTTGGATGTTGCCGAGATGTGGTTAGGTTGTTTGGGATGGCTAGGGCATGTATCAAAGTGTGTGTGTCCTAGAAGAACATAAATTTGCAGTGACTGAGTAGTGGCACAGAGAGGCTCTTAATCTGACTGTGTCAAGTCTTTATTTGGAGGGTCACTTTGTCCCTGTTCTGATTATATTGCCCATTTCCATCCTCTGCTGTAAAATTGTACTTTATTAATGGGTTTCTTGAGATTTCTTAAGCAGTAATTAAGTGCATGGACTTACAGTCTGTTTTGTATCCTAACTTTGCTGTCTTTAGCTTTAGTTGTCTCTACTTTGAACTAGAATACTAATTTATAATTTAGTTCCTTAGATCTTGAGTATTTAGGTAAATATATTTAGTACCTTCCATAACTTATGAAATAAATAGTAACGAAAATATGTATGTTTTGTAAGTCCTTCCTGTTTCTAAATGTTAAGTACGGGATTGAATTTTTGTAGCCTGATTGAAATGTTGGATAGTTTAGAGTGACATTTTGGAGCAAAATTCTATAAATCCTCTTTGGAGATCAAATATTGACCTTTGATAAAGTCATCTGTTGTGAGGATAATAGTTTGGGTGAGTTTGTCTGGAGTATGGGAACTGTTATCTTTAACTCATTTTAGAGTGATAGTTTCATATTTCCTAGACACTTGGCAAGCTTATTAGTACTGTTAGTCGTTAAACAATAACCATTTGATGAAATTTTTAGGATTACATTCATGTTTTCATATCATTTCTTTTTTTTTTTATTTTACATGTCGATCCCAGTTCCCTCTCCCTCCCTCCCTCTTACCCTCTCCCCCCCCCCCACACATGCACCCTGACCACCCATTACATTCTTAATTTTGGACACTATCCTCTAGTTTTTGTTCCAGTTGTGTGTGGAATATCTCCCCCCCATCCCCCTCCCCCCCCCCCACACACACACGCATCCTGACAGAGTTTCTCTGTATTGCCTTGGAGCCTGTCCTGGAAGTAGCTCTGTAGACCAGGCTGGCCTCGAACTCACAAGGTCCGCCTGCCTCTGCCTCCTAAGTGCTGGGATTAAAGGCATGCATCACCAACACCCAGCTAGTGTAGAAGTTTTCTTAAGCTGTAAATTTAGTGTAATGATTTTTTTTTATATATAATATGGCAGCTGACACTCCAAAATACTGAATTTGAAGCCAACCCTGGGGTACATAGTGGGTTCTGAATAAGGATCAAACAAAAACTTGGTTATGGCATGTTTTTAAAATTATAATTACAGTTTTCTTAAGTTACAAATGAGCAACAAAGATATAGAATTGGTTTCATATTATAAACAATAAGAGTAAGTGTTAACTTTTCTAACTCATTATCACAACTAAATTTCAAAAATTGCATTCATTAGTGAAAAAGGAAATATGACTTTTATAGGACATGTCCTTGATTAAGCATTTGAACAGATAAAGTGTACAAAACCATATAAATAACTGGGCTTTTTTTCTTCCAAGGTATTCTTTGTGTGGCTGATCAGTGTCATGGCTTACGAGAATTGGCCCTGAACTACCATTTGCTGAGTGATGAATTGTTGCTCGCACTGTCTTCTGAAAAGCACGTTCGCTTAGAACATTTGCGCATTGATGTTGTCAGTGAGAACCCCGGACAGACACATTTTCATACCATTCAGAAGAGCAGCTGGGATGCCTTCATCAAACACTCACCCAAAGTGAACTTAGTGATGTATTTTTTTTTATACGAAGAAGAATTTGACCCATTCTTTCGTTATGAAATACCTGCCACTCATCTTTACTTTGGGAGATCAGTAAGCAAAGATGTGCTTGGCCGTGTGGGCATGACCTGCCCGAGACTAGTGGAACTGGTGGTGTGTGCCAATGGGTTACGGCCCCTTGATGAAGAGTTAATTCGCATTGCAGAACGTTGCAAAAATTTGTCAGCTATTGGGCTGGGGGAATGTGAAGTCTCATGTAGTGCCTTTGTTGAGTTTGTGAAGATGTGTGGGGGCCGCCTGTCTCAGTTGTCCATTATGGAAGAAGTGTTAATTCCTGACCAAAAGTATAGTTTGGAGCAGATTCACTGGGAAGTGTCTAAGCATCTTGGCAGGGTGTGGTTTCCAGACATGATGCCTACTTGGTAAGGATTGCATGATATGGGGCATGATGAATAAATAGCACCTTAATTTTAAGAAACTGTATTATAATAAAAGTGTATTTGCTCTAGTTCTGATATAATTCTACTACTTTGTGGCACAGAAATCTGGTGTCTTCGGTGAGCTTATGATGAATGATGTTTGTTGGAAGGCCTACAGTTTGAGTCAGGTGATTCCTTTTTTTTTTTTTTTTTTTTTGTAGTCTAACCACAATCAAACGTTTAAAATTTAAAAGAAAACTTGGTTTCATATTTGAAAGTAATATTCACTTATGAAAATGAGATAGTTCATAGTCTGAAGGAAACAACCTGGATTTCCTAATATCTAAGAAGTATACTAACAGGCTTTCTGAAATGTTCTCTATGCATTTTTTTCTTTTTAATGTAAACTTGACATTTTAGGGTCTTCAGTTATAAGTACACCTGTTATAAGGTGTTGAATATAGCTCAGGAAAGTGAGCGTTTTGTGAGAGAAATGTATGGTATAGCTCATAAGAGGTTGGTTAAATGTTTCAAGTGGTATGGAACTTTTGAAAATTAAGATATAAATATCAGAGTCCTTAGAACACTAGTAAATGCTGCAGTGGTTGTTAAGTGGCACTCAGAGCCAGGCTCAACCCTGAAGAAAGCAGTGGGAGAGAGGAGAGGCAGGGTTTAGCTTTGTGTGAACCTTAGATTTTCTCTGTAATGTGCTAAACCATGTGAGTTCTTTCCTGTTACAGAACTAATGTTTGTGGTGCCTGGGGCATTGTATATAAAGGAATGGTTTAATCTTTTTTTTTTTTAAGTCTTTGTTTAAACTAGTTTTAATTATTACACAATTTAAATGAAAATCCTACTTAAAAACCAATTTGAAATAATTAAAAATAGAACTGTTTTTATGAAAGAATGTTAGTCTCCGGTGAATTTTAGTAATGGATTATGCTTTAATTTTGGAATTACATAGCTACAATACAACTTAAAAAATAAAAAGGAGTATCTGTACAGTTCAGAAACACTAAATTTTATATATATATAATATATATAAGTTCAAAATAATTTTTGAGTAAATATTACTCAGTGAACTGGAACATTTTAATAGAAAAATATCTGCAGTTTTGTGTTGTATTTTATATTATTTAAGTTATGTAGCTTTTCATATTACTTTCATATGAATAAAGGTAAATTCTACTAGAATGTAAAAAAAATACTAAGTTTTGTTTATATATAGTTTTTGTTTTCAGATATTGTATGATCTTGGATTCTGGGCACTAGTGAAATTAGAAGGGAATTTACCCCAGCAGACAGAGTACTTCAGTGTCTGAAATGGCTCTCTTCAGTAGTGTGACTTTTAGTAAGTACCCTGATAGTTACCGAAACTAACAGTCTTAAAAACAGATGAGCTTCCTGAGAATAAAACAAAATGTGGCTTTCTATACAATTCAAAACTGATGGTTTTCTTTCAGCCACATACGAATAAGAAGAAAAAGACGGGCTAGGGCTCAGCATTAAAAGCAGGGTTAGAATGTTTCCCTCTTTCTAAATAGTAAGAGGACTTTGTACAGGAATACTTTTGCTAGTTGGTTTCTTCTTCTTCTTTTTTTTTTTTTTTTTTCCCCCAACTTTGGAAAATGGATTTGATGGTCTATAATTAGTTTTACTAACCAAAGGTTTATTTGAAAACTTAAACTTTTGTACAAATTGAATTACATGCTTGAATACTTTAAGTCACTTTATAAGCAAAATGCATAGCACTTAATTTGTTTATACTGTAAAATATATGTTAAATGGTTTTATCAATTTGAGAATAAAGATAGTTACTAATGCTGTTGTATTTTTATAACTTTAAAGAACTAATCAAATATATATTACAAAGCTATGATTTTTAGCTTCAGAGGTGTTTAAACATATAGACTGGCTTGTTTGAAGACACAAGATTAGGGACATTGAATTTGTTCTTGTGCTCTAGTAACTATGAAATTTAAAATGAAAATGATTCATGATTAAAAATAAAGACTAGGTTCTTTATGTATTTAGAATAAAAGCTATCCTCTACTTAGAAATATGACTTTCAGGGTCCAAGAGATGGAGCAGTGGCTAAAAGCTGGTGAATACTCTTGACAGGTTTTAGCACCATCTTACCACAACCATCTGATGCCTCTGACCCCATGGGCACCTGCATTCACTTACATGTTCATACTCCCAGAAGCCACATTAATTAAAACATAGGAATATATTTTTTTAAGTTTTTAAAGAGTTTCTTTTAAGCCATCCATATTGGACATCTGTGTAAGAATAGTTTTTACACCATAGAAATTATTGTAATCTACTATCTTAAATAGATTTCAGGAAACAGGACCAGTTTAGTGTGGTAATCTAGGCTATTTAAATATCTTTAAAAAATAGGCCTTGGTAAACAAAACAGTAAATAAGTTAATGCAACCTATTTGTACAAAATCTGTTTATACTTGAGGCCACTTTTAATATTAACAAGAGGTAAGAATAGCCCCATCTGTGTGCTGAAAAGAAAGCATTTCTCAGACTGAAAGGTTATTCCTGGAATTAGTAATCAGTCCCCCAAAGTATAAATACCCAAAGCATTTCAACAAGGAAGAAACTCTTGAAGGCACTTGGAAGAGCATGAAGCTACCAGGTGAGTAAGTGTGCTTGTTTAAAAGGGCTAGCTGGATGTGATAGAACAGATCTTTAAGCAGTTTAGAAGGCTAAGCCAAGACAATTGCAGTTCGAGGCCCACTCAAGCTACTTAAACCTGGCAACTTAAACCTCATCTCAAAAAGTTAAAGGAGGCTAGCTGTAGGGATATACTAGCTCAGTGGTAGGAGGCTTCCCTCTTATGTGTGAGAGTCTAGGTTCAGCTCTCAGTACCACCAAACACATTTTCACCTTAGAGAAACCAAAGAATGTATTTTTACTCTTGAATAATTTCCTCTATGTGTATCTTGGTCATTTTCAATCCCCATTACTCTTACCTTCCATTCTTGCTGAGCCCACTTCTCCCCAGCAAGTTTTGTTTCTACTTTCATGTCTTTCTTTTTTCTTGGGACCCACTGAGTTTAACTGGAGATGCTTGCATGAGCAGGGTGGGAGGTTTCTGAAGCAGCTAATTAGTGGCAATACCATTGGAAAAAATGACTCTCCTTCCCCCAGCAAACAAACTGCCAGTAGTTTAATGGAGACAGGTGTGGCCCCTGAGCCACGTCCCAGTCCGTGATGGAATGTTTACAGCCCCATCCAGGGCAGATAAACACAGGTGCTGTGAGTTTATGAATGCTGTAGCCGTGTGCTGCCCAGATGGCAGCATTCCATAGTGCCCTTTGCCATCTTCTAGCTCTTGGGCTATTGTGGCTGCCTCTCCCATGATGCTTACTGAGCCTTGGAAGGAATGATGGTAGATGGATGTCCTGTTGAGGGCTGAGCACTAAACTATTGATTCTCAGCACCTTGACCCAGGTATCAGAGACTTGTCTCTCTCCTCGTTTTCCTAAAGAACCATTATTTAGTAGAACTTCTGAGTGTTGATAGTTATTTCACCTTTTAGCTATTTTCTTCTATCTATAGTAATAGATATTACCTGATAGTGAGCATGAGGGTACATTTATTTTAATATTCAAGTTTTAACAGATTCTCTTAAAAGAAATACACGTTTTTTAACTTGAACTGACAGAAATAGAAACACATCATAACTCAAATGGCTACAACATATAATTTGCAGGTCCATTTTTGATGAGAGGAGAAAGAACATGGACAGGCAATTAGGGTAGGAGACCCCAAAAACATGTTTTCCTTGGCTTAAGATCTGAAAATGTCCTTGGCCTTCTGCACAGTTCTGTCCTTGTCAGAGCCAGAGACAACAGAAGGGAGACCCATTTCTGTCCCTAATGAGCATACCTGTCTGGAATCTATGTCTAGCAGCCCTGGACCATCTCATGGTTGAGCCAGCTGTCTGTTCATCCGCTCCCTGCACTCTAGCCTCTGCTGCAAATCCAATAAAAAGTCCCTCAATCAGGACTAGTAGTTCCATGGCCTCCCTTACCCAGAATCTACTCTGCTACACAGGAACTCTGCCTCCTTTAAACTACTTTCTAAACTCATCCTCTTGTTGCCTGTGAATTGCATTCTTTGGATTTACATACAAGAATCCAGAGGCCACTGACTCAGTAGAAGTGTTCTGTGACCATGAGCTTCAGGCATCCAAGGCAGTACAGAAATTCTTCAAAGAGACACCCCATTTCCCCATATTTTGGTTTCTTAACTATTTCAAAGGATGTTCTGTCTGAATCATCTCCACCTCAAAGTTGTCTTTCACCTTACAAATACATTTCACAGCTTGGTAAACTTGGGAGATCACGTGAATTGCGTTTCTATCATCACCTCACGCTATAGTACTTTCATAGACTTTCTTCATTTACTAATTTCCACAAAGACCCAGAATGCTGTTTGACACAGTACAATCTTGTTTAAGAGGTCAAATTCTGTGTGCATGTTCTCTGCCCCTTGTGGTTTAAAATGACATACTTGGTACAAGAATCTTTCTTTGTCACCTCAGGGCAGCTGGGAAACCCTGACTTCCCCAGAGTATCTTTTGTGGTGTAAGTTAGTGTTGCCTGAGTTTAGCCACTACACAGTGGTGATGTCAAGAGTCTCCCACCACATTCTGAAGACAATCAGGTTGAAGAGGCAACACTTTGGGGTTGGCTTTGTCATGTAGCAGTGAGAAGACACTGGTGGCAGTGGAAAGCTGTTCTCAGTATGTACGAGGACATGTCTACCTCTTGTGGTAGGCAGAACAGTGCAATGTATGATTCTAATGGGGGGGGGCACTTTGGCTTTGTAGGGCCCATGCTTTTAAACAATAAGTAAACTCCTAGACAAGTGAAGATCAAAGATACAAAGTCCAAGCCCTGGTTTTGCCTCGTTTTTATTAAACTGGACAGAAACAACAGACTGGTAACATTTGATGCTTTGATGCACAGGTACCGGTATAAAGGTCACAATCTGAATACTGCTGAAAAGCAAGCAGTGCATCCATTCACTTGGCGTAACTGAGTGAAAACAATTCCAGGTCACTTGACCTTGCTAAGCCCTGACAATGCATCTGGGCCAGCAGATATGATGAGGCTTTCTATGACAGCTCAACAGTAGTGTACTAACCTCTGAAGATCACTCAGATATTAGGTGAAAGTGGATAATGGCACATTTGCATATTAAACAGACTTTTTCCCATTATTGTGCTAGTGTGTTTTTATGAATAGGGGAAAAGAACAAAAGAGAAAATGGTTTAACTGATAAATACGGGACCTTGGGAACCTGTTTAATGCTCCTGGTACAAGCATAGTTAACTGAAGGTCCTTGACAAAATCCCATCCTGTCCAGGAAAGTGTGCCCTCTTCCACTGCTAGCCTTGTTAGAACCGGAGAGCACATACAAGAACTCAGAAGTACATGTCACCCAGCCATGTCTACAGTACTTCATGGCCCATTCTGAAGAACTACTGAAGCTGCACGTGTGCTGTCAGCTCAGAGTCTCAGTGCTTACAGGACAGGACACAGGAACAGATAGCCTGTAATCACATTAGGCAAAACCAAGCATAACAGCCTGTGCACTTTTAATCTCAACGGTTCTCTGAGGCCATAGATGCATTCAGTGTGCCCTTCCTAGGCCAACATGGGTGCCCTCAACCTTCTTCACGGTCCCCGCCAATGAGTCATTTTAGAGCCAAGGACACAAATCCAGAGATGTTAAGTGGCTGATATCACAACAGCCAGTTAGTTGCTAGCCAATTCTAAAATGCTAGCCAGAAATTCTGTTCTCTTGTACTGTATTTACCATGTCCAGAGGCGCTGCTCCAGTAATGGAGTCCAATCATATCTTTAAGAGTATGTGACTAGAAAGCAGACCTAGACCTCAGAGTTAAAAGAGCTATAAAAATATCTATTCTTTAGATGTCCAAAAAGCCGGTGAACTAAGAAACAGCACTACCATAACAAAAGATAGCCCTAGGAAAATGGGACCAAAGAAGTCCATGGCTAAGGTCAACTGATTCTCAATAAGATCAAGTTCTCAATGCATTCACTTTGGCCAGTACAATTAATGGTTTTTGCTTCTCTCCAGGAGTCGTGAAAGGAGATGTCAGTATACTGCACTTCCAACAATGAGCACTTGACCTTACTGCCCAGGGGAGGGAAATGAATAAAGATACAAATGTAAAAACATCCCTGGAGGACAACAGGGGCGGGTGGGCGCGTGGACAGAGTGGAAAGTGTCACAAGTCAGGAAGCCCTGTGTGTCTGGTAGGTAAAGGGATTTCCTCATACGTAATTTTGACAAAGGGGAATTTCATAGGTAGGAACCAATATTCAAAATTATAAAAGAGGTAGAACTCTCTGTGCATGATCACTGAATCAAAAATTTTCAAGAGACTCAACAGAAAGTCTTTAGTTGACAAATGTGGTTTGAACAGGGCATAAAATTTTCGTATGACTGAAGCAAGAGTCTTGTTTCCTTTTGGTCCAAAAATAGATGTTTCATTTCCCAAGTAAGTAGGTTCTCCACTGTAAAGAAATATTCTTGTATAGTTTGTTTCTGTCTTCTTGAATTCTGCTCCAAATTCAGCCAATTTCTCATACGTCCTTAACACGAATTTCGAACAGTCGTAGGATTCAAACCATGTCTCCACCCCTTTTCCTGGGCTGGCCTGGACCGTCCATGTCTCATAATAAATACCTGTTTCATTGTCCTGCTTCACCCACTCTGCCACTTTGTTAAATGTGTTTCCTAGTTTAGAAAAAGCAACAAAAGCAAACATTATAAAATGTTCTGAGACCCAATGAAGACCAGGATGAATGAGTAAGAAATACTTTAAAACTGCTGTATCCCACAGCAGGAATGCAAGCTTAGCTACATTCTCTTCCATTCCTCAAGGCCTTTGAATTGCAAATACAAGACATAATGGGGACATAAAGAGAACTCTTAAAATTCTACAGTTGCTTAAGCTATGGTCAGAACGATAGTCGAGAGCATGACTACACGTATGCACTAGCTAATTTTTCTCTTTTCAGCAAGTCTTGGATCCAGAAGCAAACAAGAAAAGGGAAGCGAGAACTGGAAGAGAGGAGGGTGTAAGAACAAGCAGGAAGGGCAAACTGATGAACTGGCAAAGGCATGGGATGCTTAGTAGACATGGCTGCCGAGGTGCAGCAGGTCCTGCCTACACTACACAAAAATTCCTCTAACCAGTCAACCAGACTGGCCACTGCTGGCTCTAGATTCACTGACTACAGACTCCTGGGTGGCTAAGTCTTCTACCACCGTCTTGCACCGGGTCAGAAGACTTGTCTCGGAAAACTTAGAAAGCTGCTATTCTGCATGGCACAACCTTCACGTGGGCACCTACAGGCACAACAGTGGTAGGTCCCCAAATCTCACTAGCAGCAAGCCTTTGCTGCGTAGATGTAAACAGCAATCTGTCAAGGGACTCCCCTGGGTGTCTGCCACTTCGGGGAAATAAAACTGCAGGGTCTGCTTCAGAACTGGAGGCACAGTTCTTAATAAGTAACTAGGAAAAGCTGGACTCGCAAGTCACTGTGTCATAACATCCAAAAAAGGTCATGAGACAGCATTAATCATGGGCAAGATGAAGAATGAATTTACAAACTTAAAACTCTAGGAAGTGACAGTGTTTAACAGAAGAATGGCCACTGTTTCATATGGTCATCAGCTTGTGTGAGGAGAGAGGAAGGTGTGCCCTGGCTCGGTGATGCTGAGATGGGCTTTCGTGGCTGGGATGTTTGGATCATGTGAGTTAAGAAGTAGAAGGGAAGATTAGAAAAGTGGTGTTTGGGGCTGGAGAGATGGCTCAGAGGTTAAGAACACTGACTGCCCTTCCAGAGAGAGGACCTGAGTTCAATTCCCAGGAACTACATGGTGGCTCACAACCATCTGTCATGAGATCTAGTGCCCTCTTCTGGTGTGCAGGCAAATATGCAGACAGAACACTGTATGTGTAATAAAAATAAGTAAAAAAAAAAAAAAAGTGGTGATTGTGTTCAAAAACTGCAGGTTATATTTTAAAGACCTCAACTTAGATGTGGTCTGTTCTATCCAGCTCTGTGACAGAAGTTGGCAGTCATGCCACTGCTGAGCTCCTGTAACAGTTCCTTCACCTGTAAAACCCAAGGGAGATCTGACCCTCCCCCACTGAACTATGAGTTAACACACCTTAAACTGTTCTGTACATCTAACAAATAGAAACTAAGAACACTTCCTTAAGTCCCGGGGCATGGGGGACAGTTAGCATCACAAACAGTGCTTTCTCTTCACCAGTCTGCTTCTGTAGACAACCACCATGCATGACTTCACCACAAGAGGTGGGGGGGGGGCGGGGGAGGGCCGGGGAGGGGACTAAGGTAAATGTGACCCGAGATCACACAATTAGCTACTGACAAGAAAGTTCCGGTCATGAATCAAAAGTGCAGAATGCAGTTAATGCAACATCACAAGTTGTGTCATCAGATTCCCAGGTGAACACTTAGGCATCGCTCAAGAGGACTTGAAATGTACTGGCACATGTATATCTGGGTAGGCCATGTACCAAGGGCTTTCCCAGCAGGGCTGGAGTCCATGCCTTTCATCTGTATCTGTTTCCCCATTTGCACAATGGAGAAAACGGATGAGTCTCTCAAGAGCCTGGGATGCTGGTAAGTGATGTGCTCTAATAACAACGATCAGAACAGGGCTAGACTCAGAGGAAGCAAACCCTTAATATTTCCCTACCTAAAAATAATTTATAGACACTAATTTCAGAGGCCTTCCTAATGGGCTCCACTATCTGTTGTCTATTGGATTTCATTTAGCTACACTCAGCATTTGTTTCATTCATATTTATCACTGGACAGAGCAGAAGATGAGCCACGCATCTCCTGGCAAGGCTCTGCGTCTGGGTCCATTTGGTCTGAGGTGTAACAGTGCCAGAAGCACAGACTACAAATGATCACCTTGACATAGACTATGACAGACATCTCAGTGAATGAGTGAAATCCCCCGCTTGCATATGGGTGCAATCATCAAACTACTTTATTTCTGAAACTTACCGGACACGGTCGTGACTAGAGTTAACGTCCCATTTTCCTTCCAGTGTTTATCATCGATTCCTTCAAAAAAACAGGCCGCTCCTTGGTTACACCAGAATGGAGCATCCATTTCAGGTCGAAGGTGAGGAAATGTACAGTTGCCAAGCTGGAAAAGCTCATACCATTCCATTGTGTAGTTCTTGCCAGTCAGTGTACTCCTGAATCCGATGGCATCATGCATTATTTTCTGTGTGGAGATGAAACAGCGCAAAAGCATCTGTGAGGTAACCGTGGGACCAGATCGCCTACTGGGAGAGTTTGGTACACCACAAACACACACCGTGGGACCAGGTCGCCTACTGGGAGAGTTTGGTACACCACAAACACACACCAAGTAGAACAAGTGCTTGCGGGCAAGCTACACATTTCTGTGTCACTATCTTTGTGGTGACACCCAGGGCTCATTTTAGCAGGGATGTGAGCTGTGTGAAGACACTTGAAATTTTTCTCACAGGTTACAGTAAGCATGAAAAGCCATCATGAATGTTCCAGGAAAGAGTGCACCTGTCTCCCAGGTGATTCACTGAACTGGGAAACGGTTTACAGCAGAGCTTAGAGGTGGAGAACTGATTCCTGCCTGCCTTGCCTTTCGTCTCATTCCCCAAGAGCTGGGTACACAAGGAGAGTTTACATTGTTGCCATGTAGGTCCTCCTGAGAACACAGACTCTTAAAGCCAATAGAAACAAAGTCTTTATTCACAGGCCAGAAGGCTACATGGGGAACTTGCTCAAGTTACGAAGTCAACAAGCTTTACCAATCTTGGTTTTTAATGCACAAAAACATCCTGGTTCCTGCACTTTAATCAGCAAGAACCGTCAGCAATAAATGGGGCTACAGAAGCCAAACCGCAAGGTCTGTACATTTAGGGACTTTCCCAGAACCATGGACTAGAATAGATTGGGGGGCTTTGTTCTCATTTTTGCAGCTGTTGGGGGTCTATGTGCTGGGCTCTTAGGTCAGAATGGTGTCTTTGTACCTCTAACATGGTGTCGGTTGTGCTAAGGGGCCTATTACAAGATCCTTCATAGTAAATCAAGGCCAGTACACTTGTTACTGGGTGTAGCTTTTGCTTTGTTTGTGAGACAGTCTTATCCTGTAGCCCACATTGACTGAAATAGTAATTCTCTTGCTTGGACCTCCAAGTGCTGGGGTTACAAGTGTGCAGCACTCTGCAGATGCAATGGTAACTCTTTCTGACTACCAGCTTACAGGTGCCAAGAAGTCTATCATGGGCTGGGCTAAATGTATAAGAGTGCTTGCTACAACAGCATGAAGAACTGAGTTCAAATCCTTAGCACCCACCTAAAAGCCAGGCATTGCCACTTGTATCTATGACCCCAGGGTTGAGGGGAGGAGACAAGCTCACTGGCCAGGCTGTTTAGATGAAAATGTAAGCTTAGGGACCAGGGAGAGACTCTGCCCCAAGGGAGGCAGACATCCAACATGCTCCTTAAGCCACTTCATGCTTGTGAACACACACACACACACACAGTGTATCAACAAATAAGATTTAGTAGCCATCTGATTACTCATTTAAGTCAAAGTAATAACTAAATTACTTAAGCAAAGTTACAAGATGAAGATGCATTCTTACAAAGTGTCCCAGAAGGTCTCCATATTTAAATTCCCAGACAGGGGTTTGTAGTCTTAAGACTTCGATGATGTCATTGTCCTTCATCACGGGGATGGGTGAGCCAGTAGGACAGAAGGTATACTTAGCCTGACAGTAGGGATCTGGCTTCGGACGGAAAGAGAAGCGTCTAGAAGAAAGAAACCATCACATTAGATCATGAAAGAAACTGCTCTTCTAACACACTTTAGAATCCCAATTTTCATTTCAGGCTCTGCCCTCCGCTCGCTCTCTCTCTCTCTCTCTCTCTCTCTCTCTCTCTCTCTCTCTCTCTCTGTGTGTGTGTGTGTGTGTGTGTGTTGGGGGTATTACATGTATGTGCACATGTATAGGTGCCTTTCCTTGATTGCTTTCCACCTTTATTTTTTGAAACCCTCTCACTAAACAGGCTAGCCAATGAGCTTCAAGAATCTGCCTTCCTCTGCCCCTCCCTTCACAAGGTTAGGGTTACAGAGCACTGCCAGGTTGGTTTCTGCATGAGTTCAGAGAATCCAAACACACATCGCTGGGACTGGGCTGTGAACACCCAGCCGCTCCTCGGTCCTCAGTAATGCTTTGTAAGGAAAATATTCGAAGCTTAGATCATGGTGACTAAACATGAATGTACTTTTTACTTGTTTTCATATGCATACTTCCAATGATGTGTTAAATATCATAAAGTAGACTTGGCATTTGAAAAAAAGCATTCAACTAATTTTAACTGAGGATCTGCCATGTACAGGACCGCACTGAAAAGAAAGAAAACAAAATTATAAGCCTCTTTCCTTCCTCGACAAGCTTCGGGTTGGGGCTTGGAAGATGTTAAGTCAGAGGGCAGCTGTGGTTAAGAATTAAACTAAGGAAATAGTGACCTAAGACACAAAGGAGGAAGAAGTCAGCTTCAACTGGAGGGCACTGGAAAGAAAACTAGACCAGGAAGGGAAGGAGAATTATTATAAGACACACAGGAAATACCTTAGTGGCTCTCACCCTTCCGACGGCTGCAGCCCTTAAATACAGATCCTCATGTTGTGGTGACCCGTAACCATAAAATTATTTCATCGCTACTTTGTAATTAATTTCACTACTGTTATGAATTGTAAATATCCGATATGCAGGATATCTAATATGAGAGACTCCGTGAAAGGGTCATTTGATCCCCTAGAGGGGTCACAACCCAGAGGCTGAGAACCACCGAAATATCTTTAAGGGTTCCAGCAGACAAGAGTTCAGGCCTCAAGACAAGAGCAGACAGGGACTAACAAGTCATGGCAAGAATGAAATGATTTCCTACAGCCCCAGACATGGGGACCTTGATCCCTGAATGAGCTAGGGGATTTTAAAAAAGCACTTCTGACCAGGCTGAATAGATCCGAAAGCCATCCTTATTGTATGAATTAGAAGAGTCACGGGTTATAATTCAAGCTGAAACCAGTCAGGAGGCTGCAAGGATGCTGAAACAAAACCTCAGGAGGACACACGACTGAACAGACTGGAACCATGGCTCGGCACACTTGTCCCCGATCACCTCCCAGGCCTGGGTGCACTGGTGCATAGGGAAGAGGAAGAACACTAAGAACTAAGAACGTAAAGGCTCCAGCCAGAGTATGTCATTACAGACTTAACGCATGAGCAAAAACTTCTTCAACTGGCTTAACAAACATATTGCTGTATTTGAGCTTCATTACCCACAGAAAAAAATCTATTTTAGGTCAAAGGTAACTTTAGAAGTATAACTCAAGTGAAATTTTCATAAAGGCAGTGTCAAGCTGGGGCTTCTCAGCTTTGCAATCTCTTCCTTGTTTTATTTGGGTGTTTAATTTTTATTTCTTGTGAAGATTTTCATCAAAACCAGCTTCGACCCTTACCCTTTTATTCATATACATTAAGCAGAACCAGTTCATGAACATAATACACGAATATTTATAAGTTACTATCATTTCCTGTTTTCTGGTCAGGACGTGTGGGCATGAAGATACTGAGTAATTTTCCTAAGAGCACACACACGGAGGATGAGCTGGTCCAACAAATTTGATCTGCGGACTTCAGAACCAAGAACTCCCTTGAAGACCGTGCCTCCCTTCATCCAGCCATGATCTTTCAAAAGCTGCAATTCCTTCCACTTCCTGATGTCCACTCGGGGTCTCCTCCACCCAACCCCACCCCGCCCTCGCCCCGCCCCCTGGTGTTTCGCAATCTCCCACATGCTGTCAAAACTTTGCTAGGTCGAAGACTCCAGTGAGCTGCTCAGGTCCAGAGCCAGCACCTCCAAGTAGAAGTGGACCAACCAGGCGATCCTGATTGTCCCAGGAGGGGACTTCCCAGGTTTGGAATTTAGAGCAGTATTATTGGGAAACCCGGGGCACAGCTGGCCAGGCTACCTCCTTGTAAGTCCTGCAAACGGTATGCCAAGCGGCTCATGATAAAGCCAAGAAATAAATGCAGTATTTCAAACGTGGTTTAACCTGCTCTCCGAGTCGGTTGTACCTAAAAGTCACTCAGTGCAGTGATGTCACTCCCCACTCCTCCCAGGACTCTCGGGAATTGTCCTGAATCGGTGGGGACCCCCTCAGTCTCCAACTAGCTGGGAACTGCGCTCCCGGTGTCCCGTGTGCCCCGCGTCGCCAAGCACCGGAGTCACGGGCTCTGCGCCCTCCCAAGTCCCCGCCGCTCCCAGCTCCGCCTCACTCACTTGTAGGGCACCGGCCAGCGGCGCCTCGACGTCGGGGACGCGCCCAGAGTCGCCGCCAGCCCGAGCAGCGCCAGCGCCAGCGCCAGCGCCCAGTCCGCCCCGCGTCGCCCGGCGCGCGCCATGCAGTTCCCTGAGATCCCGCGGCTCCCGGGCCCGAGTCGGCCCAGCGTGCGCGCCGCCGCGACGGCACAGACCGGCGTGCGCGCCGCCGCGGGCGCGTGACCTCCAAGCGCGTGACGCCTCTACAGTCCGGGCCTGGCCCGAGCACCGCGGCTCCATCGCGCGTGCGCCTGAAGCAAATACATACATATATACACACATAATACATATGTACATGACACATACATACACACTGCATACATACATAATACACCATAGATAATACATACATACACACTACATACACAATACACAATACATACATACATAATACATACATAATACACCATATATACATAATACATACATACATAATACACCATACATACATACATACATAATACGTACATACACACTACAAACATAATACACCATACATACATAATCATACATACACACATCATAATACATACATACATACATACATACATACATACATACATACTGCATAATTAAATTGCTAGCCTCCAGGAAGAAGATTGGGGCTGGCAATGCAAATCTCACTGCAACCTGGGTTATAGTGTGAGGCTGATTCTCAGAGAATCTCCTGTCAAAAGTTTGAGATGTTTCATCCTTGCTGATATATTTTTCCCAAAGAAAAATCCATGTCTGTAAATTTTTGGAGACAAAGTTTCTGAGGTTGTCATTGTGACACTTGATTCCTACTAGGGTTGGAGAGAAGGACTATTTCGTACTAGTTCTCGGGCTGATTTTGCCTGACTTTTACTTCGGGGTGGTGACTAGCCAGGCACATTCGTAATGTTCAGGGTAATCTTCGGTCTGTCATTTATAATTACATGAACACAATGTGTCATTATTCACAAAAAGGTCTCCAGGTGCTTAAGGGTTCTGCAGAACATGAAGCCTTGACAGTTATTTTCCCGCATTTTCACGCAGAAGTCAAGGATATGTTGATGTTAACTAATGATCTCATCAGAGGTTTGGGGGGCTTGGATATATTGTTAACCCCAATGGCACAAATAAGACCACTGCCACAACCTGAGCCAAATTTGATTCTTGGGTGTTTTTTTTGTTTTGTTTTGTTTTGTTTGTTTTTTGTTTTTGTTTGTTGTTGTTGTTTGAGACAGGGTTTCTCTGTGTAGCTTTGGAGGCTGTCCTGGCACTAGCTCTTGTAGATCGGGATGGTCTTGAACTCATAGAGATCCGCCTGCCTCTGCCTCCCTAGTGCTGGGATTAAAGGCGTGTGCCAACAATGCCCTTACAAGTTTGATTTTTATTGAGGTGATCTAAGAGCTAGCCAGCCACTGCCTCCTAAGTCAGGCAGTCGGGTTAAAGAGAGCAGTCCTGAATCCATTTCTTGAGCCCATTTTAATGAGCAAAATCACAAGTGTTGCAAAGCAGTTTTTCAGAGGAGGAAAGACAATGGGGCAATAGAGAATATAGGAAAAAACAAAAAACAAAACAAAACAACAACTCAAGAAACATCAGGATAAGGATTTCTCAAAAGTCAAGGTCATGGGTTAGGGAAAATCAGTTTCCAGGAAACAGAGAGCAATTCAGTTCTTATAGTAAATAGAAACATTTTTAACAATACAGCATAATGGCTCCTGCCTTCAAATCCCAGTCAGGCAAGTTCCTCAATACATACCTGTTTTACAGGTGCTTAGCAACCCTAGACAAACGCATCAACTATATTATAGCCTATATTTTCAGATATTTAGTAACAGCTTCGCCTGCCTATCACAGCATAATTTATTGTCTGTCGAAGATGGCTTTAAAAGCACAATTTAAGATTGAATGTAATAAAGTTTGAAATTACAGTACCATACGGAAGGGACTAGATGGATGGGAGCATCTGTGAAACATGGATACTTAAACCCTAATTCCAAATCAAGAAATTTAGGACTTACAATCTTTGACTTCATTGAGTCTCTCGGACAATTCTTTAAGCTTGAACTAATTATTGAATATGATCTTTAACTTTTGTCTTTCAGAGTTTATCAGAACTCTGGATAACTTTCAGTTATCCAGAAACCAGTGTCCCACATGAAGTGGGTCCGTGGCAGGTGAGGGACAAACATGCCAGGCAGACAGAGCTTATGTGGGATGTTTTACTGGGGGGAAGGGAGGGGGGAGAGAAAGAGAGAGACAGAGAGGGGGGGGAGGGAGAGAGGGAGGGAGGGAGAGAGAGAGAGAGAGAGAGAGAGAGAGAGAGAGTCCTGTCTGCCCCTCAGAGGAACAGCAGGGGAGAGAAAGAGAGCAGAATGGGCAGAGTTGACCTCTTAAAGGGATCTGTGCACCTGTGTGCAGGCTATGTAGTGACATGGCAACGACAGGACCCTGGGCTGGCCAAGGTACTGCCTGAGTGCATTCTGCCACATGACGGGGGCAGGCCAGCATAATGCCTGAGTGCTAACAACCAGCTTCAGAACAAGCATTTCTCCCTTTATGTGATTTGATAAAACATTTTTGTCTGGAAATGGTGGTACACTTGAAATCCCAGCACTCAGGAGGCAGAGGCAGGAAAATCTAAAATTTGAAGACAGCCTGAGCTATATAGAGAGCAATACCTTGTCTCCAAACAAACCTAAAGGCTATAACAAACATAAAATCCATGGGTGGCCATTGCTCTGAGCTGAATTCCTGCACTAGGTTCCAACAAACCAAACCAAACTGGAATTGCTTGTGTTATGTGTCATGTAAACAAAGTGAATTGTTGTTGTTGTTGTTGTTGTTATTATTATTATTATTATTATTATTATTATTATATGTATATGTGCTAGAATCCAGTTCCAGTGGAGTTCAGGTCCCAAGGAGGAGGTGTGCATTCTGAAAGATGGAGGAGGAGACAGACAAGATCTGAGGGTGAATTGGGTTGGCTGCCACTTTTTGAATGAAAGGCTAAACACCTCATACTCTATAGTAGCACATAGGATTAAATGGGAGAAAGGGGGCATGCGAGCTGGGGTGTGGCTGGAGATCTGGGGTTGAGGAAGCCAGCATTGACCTTGACAAGTTAATAGGCACTAGTCATATGTTAATGAAGGGCCGAAAGTTCCTCTTACCAGAGATAAGAATGACTGACTCCCTTTTTAGCAGCAGGAACTTTCTTCAAACCCCAGAGGGAATGGGGACTTTTGTCTAAATGCCTGACCTTGGAAAAGGCCTTTCTTGGGGAAACAGACATGTCATTATAGAAATTGCAGTTTTTGTGTATGGCTTAGTTTATCCAAACAGCTAAAACTTAAAATGAGTAAAGATGATGGTAGACAAATATTACTGTGAACTTGAATGACCTTAGGAATTTATAAATCTTGTTTATCAAATATACCTTATTTATTAAGCATATCTAGATTTTCTAGCAGCTTGGGGACTAACTTGTGTGGGAGAAGGCAGAGTTACCATGATAGATGGTTTCAAGGTATCAGGATTCTTTTTCCCAAAGAATTATTTTTTTAAGAGCCTCAATTTTATGCATTTTCATCCTTCAAAGCCCACACAAAAATTCCCAAAGGAAAAGGCACAAGGGACTCCATAACACATAGCGAGAATCATTAAAAAGAAAGTAATGGGTGCTGAGGAACTGTGATCCACAGAGTCAAATACTGGAACTTTGTCAAGCAGCACCAGTTGCCACGCAGGCCACACCATATGGGTGTTTTTCTCTGCATGTATGTCTGCAGACCATGTACATGCAGTACCCTTGGAAGCAAGAAGAGACCATCAGATCTCCCCTGGAACTGGAGCTACAGATAGTTCTTAACCATCTGGTGAGCGCTGGAAATCCAACCTGAATCCTCCTAAAGAACAGCCAGCGCTCATAGCCACTGAACCCTGTCTCCAGCCTAAACAAAGTGAAATTGTACAGAAACAGGGAAAAACCCTGAATTGGGGATTTTTAGCAACCAGTGGAAAAGAGCCCAGTCAAAGTGAGTTGGTGTAATAAACAAGTCCTATGTGATGGTTAATTTTCGTGGTCAAGTTGACTAGACTTAGAGTTACCACAGAGAACATCTTTCTGGGTGTATCTTGAGACAGTTGGTCTGAAGACAGAAGACCCACCCTGAATGTGAACTACCCCATGGGTTTGACCCTGGCATGAATAAAAGAGAAGAAAACCACCTGAGCATCAGTCAGCATTCATCTCTCTCTCTCTCTCTCTCTCTCTCTCTCTCTCTCTCTCTCCTCTCTCTCTCTCTCTCTCTCTCTCTCTCTCTCTCTGTGTGTGTGTGTGTGTGTGTGTGTGCCCTTAGCACAAATGTAATATGATCAGCTGCCTCAGCTCCACCACCTCGACCCCTGCCATGATGAACTATATCTTTACCTCTAAGCCATAACAAACTTCCTTCATTAGCTGATTCTGTTAGGTATTTTGTCATAGCAACATTGTAATCGCTCACCCTCTACTTGAACTTTTACAAAGTAACCCAACCCACTTTTGGGATTTCTGTTTTCTTTTACCCAAGTCACCTTACAGAAGCCAGTCTCTGTGTCATACCAACAAATCTGTTTTGGATGGGATGCAGCTCTGGTTATAGTCACTTATGAAAGCCAAGTAGATTTTAAGTCAAATGTGTAGATATATCTTCAGACAAAATTTGTTGGTATAATCCAATAGATTTATCTTAAAGTTGAATTTCAATACACATACTGGCTCTGAAAGTCAGTGCCTTACTGAAGTTAAGTAAAAGCTTTACCACTAAGCGACACCCCATTTTAGCTACCCATATCAAAGAAAATGACAGACTCAAACCATTCAGTAAGCAAAAATACATTGATGTCAAGGTTTTGACAGCGATGCCAATTGTTACATGGTACAACGAACATAGGGTTTCCTTTCTGATTCAAACCTAAGGCATGCTGACTCAGAGTCAATGAACACCATTCTCAGTATCACATCCAACAGTGACAGATAGACCAGATTAGTTTCCTAAACTCATTATTTATCCTCCTTTTATTAAGATATCCATTGCCACCATGTGTTTTTTACAGACAGCTGTTCTTTCCTATGCTTGCTACAGTTGCCACCTGTAGTGTATTC